TTGCTAGGGCGAGGCCATAAGCCTTAGCATGAATATGTAATTTTATTAATTTGCTTATGAATGGATGCATGTTTGCTTTGAATTATTAATCACTGTGTTTAAACTATCTATCTATTTTAATGACTGATCACCATTAGGATATTTAGACAAGTAATTTGATGCAATTTCTGTTGGAACATCACCCTGAAATTGAGGAGGGCTTCTTGTGATTAGTAATTGTAAGTTCACTTAAGGCGAACATCACGCTCTTAAGGGTTGCATGGTTTTTCAAAGGGTTTTCACAAAGCTTAATGAGTCTTGCATGTTTATATTTGATCTGAACATCACAGACGGATTGCATGTTAGATATACGTTTTCGCTTGAACATCACAAGGAGAATATACATTAGGAAAACCTAACCTTCAAAGCAAATATGTGGAAATTCATAAGTAATTGATACAGTTGCATAGGATTGTGACGGCGACGGCTAAACCCTAGTTTCTCTCTATATTATTAATTTTTAAAACGTTTTTATTCTCTGCTATTATTACCTCCCAACTTTCAGATTTCTTTTATTGTCAAGTTAATCTTTTCAAATTCATAAATTTCACATCTTTGATAAATTCTATTTAGTTATTAATTAAGAGTTAGTTTAATTACAAATTAGTCAAACAATCTTTGGGGACAACGACCTTGCATGAGCATCTATACTACAATATCCTTGTATTCTTGCAAGTATTTTAAGTGATTTTAACCCTGTTTGCGCAGGTACTAAAAATCCTATCAAGAAATTGAACAAAACCTAAGATAACTGTAGTTGTTAAGAGCATCTCCACCCATAAGGGCTAAGTCTAGGGCAAGGGCAAGGGCAAGCAAGGGCTGCCACTATTTACGTGAATAGTGTCAGCCTTGCCATTTGTGGTTCCACCCATGAGGGCACTTCCAGCAGTCAAACCCTTGCCATGGCAAGGGGGGGCTAAGGCTGACACTATTCACCTCAATAGTGTCTACCCTTGTAAATAGTAAGTTGCACTTCCAGCAGTTGCCCGGGCAAAGGGCAAGTACTATTCAATTTTTTGTTTTTTTCACAAATTTGTTTACCTAAACAATTAATTTGGACAATATTTTCGGATAAAATATTCGGAGAAGATTTTCAGATAAGATTTTTAGTTTCAAATTTCAGATAAATTTTTGTTTCAAATTTTGGATAAATTTCAAATTTTAAATTTCATATAAATTTCATCTAAATTTCATATAAATTTCATCTAAATTTCAAATTTCAGATAAATTTCATTTGAATTTCAACTTTTCATTTCAATTTCAAATTTCAGATAAATGTCATCTGAATTTCAAATTTCGAATAAGATTTTTAACCTATAAAATTGCGCCACGTGTCATATGAATTTCAAATTTCAGATAAATTTCATTTGAATTTCACCTTTTCATTTGAATTTCACATTTTCGAAAAATTTCATTTGAATTTCAAATTTCGGATAAGATTTTCACCCTATAAAATTGTGCCACGTGTCATGTCTATCGACCTAAATTTTTCTATAAAACTAAGGCTCAGCTCCACAAACCTCTCACACTACATCTTCTCAAAAATTTCATTTCTCAGATTTTAGATTTCATATTTCAGATTCCATATTCCATTCTCAATGTCGGACATGGAGGAGGTCTTGGAGAGGCAAGAGCGAGAAATAAGAGAAAGAAGGCGTAGACGAGCTGCAAGCAAAAGAGCCCAGAGAGATCTAGGTCAGCAACTTGTCATGGCTGTGGCTTTGCTTGATGAAGAAAACCAGAGCAGTCGTGGTTCACATGAAGGCCGTGCAGCAAATGTTGACAGACATAGGCATTCTCGGGGTAAGAATCGTATGGAAGATTATTTTATCCCAACATCTGTTCAATAAAGTCATGCATGATATTTGCAATTATGATGAATACTTTGTTCAAAAGAGAAATTGTGCTGGTGTTTTGGGACTGCTTCCCGAACAAAAGTTCACAGCTGCTATACGAATGTTGGCGTATGGTGCATCTGCTGATCAAGTGGATGAGATTGCCCGAATGGGGAAGTCCACTGCTTTGGAGAGTTTGGTTAGATTTTGCGATGCAGTTGAAAATCTGTACACCAAGGACTACCTGCACAGACCTACGCCCAGGGACTTGCAACGACTTCTACAGAAAGCCGAACGGAGAGGATTTCCAGGAATGATTGGTAGCATCGACTGCATGCACTGGCAATGGAAGAATTGCCCAACCGCTTGGCAGGGAGATTACGGAAATCGGAAAGGCCAAAAAAGTATCATCCTTGAAGCTGTTGCAGGATTCGATACATGGGTTTGGCACGCCTTCTTTGGAGTTGCTGGATCACAAAATGACTTGAACGTCCTAGGTCAATCCCCGGTGTTCAACGATGTTTTGAGAGGAGAAGCCCCGAAAGTCACATATGAAATCAATAATACCGTCTACCAAACTGGGTATTATCTAGCTGACGGCATCTACCCGAGGTGGACAACATTTGTGAAATCAATTCCGCATCCCCGAACCCAGAAGCAAAAATTATTTGCTACCCATCAAGAGAGTTACAGAAAAGATGTGGAGAGGTGCTTTGGTATCCTCCAAGCTCGGTGGGCGATCATTAGAGGTGCGGCACGTATGTTTGATGAGGAGGTGTTGAGGAGCATAATGATGACATGCATCATCCTCCATAACATGATTGTGGAGGATGAGTATGATTACGAAGCTGAAGAGGTGTATGAAGAGGATCCCATGAACACGGCCTTGACAAGAATTTATGAAAAACCAATAGGGCCAAATGGAGAACCATTGGAGCATGAACCATTGGTTAGAGATGGTCGTTTCATGCACCGTATGATTGATCGAAATACGGAGATGCAATCGTCGTATATTCATGAATGCCGTCAAGTTGACTTAATGGAGCATTTATGGGCGGTGAAAGGCAATGACGGTGAATGAAATGAAGTGAAGACAAGAATTTAGATTTTAATGTTTATATTTTATGTTTAGTTATGTTTGGTTTTTTTATGCTTTAGTTGTGGTTCGTTTGTTTTTATATTTTTAATGCTTTGGTTGTGGTTAGTTTTTTAAGTATGGAATGTTTTGAATAAAAAGGAATTTTATTTAATAGTTTCTTTGGTAACTCAAAGAAAACCAATACTACTAATAAAATAAAATACATGAATTACAAGCAAAAATTAAAACAAAACATTAAAATACAATGAAATGAAAAGGCAAGCAAACTAACTTAAGGGTTTTCATCATTTAACCAATCCGTATTGCTAGGTCCATCATCACGAAAAAGTCTTCGTCTCATAATAGCCTTTCGTTCAAGCTTCCAAAATTGTTTTGTTTCAGGAGACATATGGCTTGTATCCATGGCCATGGTTTCCCGATCCTTCTTGTCTTCGTTTTCTTTGCGTTGATACTCCCTTTCTTTGCGTACATACTCCCTTTCTTTAGCATATTCTATTCGCATTGCCCTTTCATCTTCTTGGGCTTTCCTGTCTAATTCAAGTCTCATGGCGTTTTGCCTAGCAATTTCCACCAAAATTTTAGAGGCATTACTAGTAGAATTATTTCCTCTCTTTGCCTTCGCCGCCTTCCTCCCAATAGGTCTCGGTTCCTTTTCAATGGGTGAGTCTTCACTCATAGGGGATTCCATAGGCGAATCCGAAGCTTGTGAATCATGGAGTGGCGTCTCA